GCTGCTGCAGGGAGTGGGAGGGCTTGTTGCCTTCTCCGTTCCTCTTCCTTTTAAGTCCTGACTCCTCAGCAGACCTTTTGGCTCAACACTTTTTTTCAGATCATTTTTGACAACTGATACTAAAAATGTGGAGGCTTGATGTTTTGATTGCAAGAGTTGAATGTAACTTTTCAGTTCTGGTGGGGTTTTTTTTGCAGAAATGATATAAAAATGCATGTAGACAACTCTCTGGATCCATTATGTCTATACAGTGCCTTTGCTAGACAAGAATTATCCTCTGCCTTGTTCTGTAACTTTCATATTGTCCATTTTAACTTTTTGTTCCATCAACCTTTATTAACTTAAGGCTTCTTTTTTAAAATAGATATAACTTCTTTTTGTCATTTGAATGTCTTGGAATTCAATTTTGAGCCACCTGCTTTGCTGCCATTTAAATAAATATAAGATAATTAATCTCAATATTGTCTCTGATTCTGTAACTCTAACATCTTTCATGGTTGTTTAGGTAATCCTAGCTTCCATTTCTGAGTTTCATTAGTTTCTTCTGTAGTCACCTGTGTAGCTCTTTACAGCTGAAATTTTCTTCTCATAACTTAACCTCCAATGTTCATATGCCTGATTTGCTGGGAGATTTTTAATTTAATTTAATTTAATTTTAGGAATGGGTCTTATTAATTCTTCTGTGCAGTTTATGGTATTTTTATGAATGTCTAAGATGGTCTGTTACACAGAAAGAAAACGTGGTGTGAACATAGAGAGGATTTGAGGAGCTCAAATGTGTTTACTTCAAGGCTGAGAGAACTCTTGACTGTGTGCATGTCTAGACATTCTGTATAACTTGGACCAGAGGCTGATCCTACTGTTGTTTAATGAAAATAGTGCAGTATATTAACCCATTGTAAAGCACAGGAAAAGAAATTGTTTAAAGTTAGTTTGAAATCGTACTGTAAATGTTAGTTTGTTAAGAATATATCACAATATTTACCTTTTCCTCACAGGTTATCCGTACATCTGGAGTGATCAGCTTTTTATTTTTTATGATATTCAACTTTCTCTGCTCCTTTTATCTCTTCAATCTGATCTTGGCTGTGGTAACAATGGCATATGAAGAGCAAAACGCAGCTAGTCTTGATGAAAGAGAGGCCAAGAAAAAACTACTTCAGGAAGTCCAAGAAATTTTAGAGAAAGAACAGGTTTGTAAATTATTACGTATCATATGTGGTTCTTTTTGTTTTCTTCTGTATGTGAATTAGGGAAATAATGTTTTGAATTAAACATGTGCTTCTTACAATACCTTCTCACACTTCAGTTCTCTTTGTGTCTGTATAAATGCATGAGTGTATGTATATATCTATTTGAATACATAAACATCTCTGTGATACAAAACCCCATCATTAATTTTCAGGATTAGCAGACCTGACACTGTATAGGAATGGCTTGTTGGCAATTTTGTAGTTTTTATGGTATTGCACAGGTGCTGCACTCCATGGTTTTCCCCGTTCTTGTACACTCCCACTATTGCTGTGGACAGAAATTCCTTTCTCTGGGTATTCCTTCTTGCTATTACTGTGCAGTCTCATGAAGGAAATAGGAGTGGATACATTTACATCCATGAGAAAATTGTCATTTCTGCAGTTCCCAAAAGTTGGAAGTTTCAGTGCTGATAGATTTCAGGCCTGATTAAAAAGCCTTCCAAGAGCCACTGCGCTCAGCATTTTAAAGGTTGTCAGGCCTCATTTTGAGTGACTGCATGCAGGAGGTCTATCAGTTGACAAGAGCAGTAATAGTCTTTAGCCAGGATAATGCTGTTGGTTCCATATAAAGTTCCACACTGACATCCAGAGACTGCAATGGTTTCTTTGCTGTTGCTTTGCAGAGTTAATAGACACACATCAGATTTCCACAGTGTTTCCTCTTGACATAGTATTGTTCCAATCATTCTTGCCTTGGTCTGTAAGGGACCAGGGATCACCTGTTGTTTTTTCTGATAATCATTTAATCACTGAGTCACAGAATCATGGACAGGTTTGGATCACAAGGGATCAGGATGAGCTGGAACACCTTCCACTAGACCAGGTTGCTTCAAACCCCATCCAACCTGGCCTTGAACACTTCCAGGGATGGGACATCCAGAGCTTTCAGGGCAACCTTTGCCAGTGCCTCACCACCCTCCCAGGAAAGAATTTATTCATAACATTTAATCCAAATTTCTCTTCTTTCTCTTTAAAACCTTGTCATGTCACTACCTGCCCTTGTAAGAAGTCCCTCTCCAGCTCTCTTGGAGCCCCTTTAGATACTGGAAGGGGTTCTAAGGTCTCCCTGGAGCCTTCTCTTCTCCAGGCTGAATGACCCCAACTCTCTCAGCCTGTCTCCAGAGCAGAGGTGTTCCGGCCCTCAGAGCATCTTCGTGCCCTTGGGCTGGTCCAAACCCTGCTGCTGTTGGGGGGGGGGCAGATCTGGACACAGCACTGCAGGTGGGGTCTCATGAGAGGGGAGCAGAGAGGGAATCACCTCCCTTGACCTGCTGCCCATGCTTCTCGTGATGCAGCTCAGGACACAGTTATTTCTGGGCTGCAGGCACACGCTGCTGGCTCATCTCGAGCTTCTCATCCACCAGAAGTGAAGCTCTAAGCTAGGGCAACAAGATGGGTTGAAAATTATTGGTAAGACCTATTGTATCTTGTAACTTTTTATAAGAGATACCTCTGATTTACTGCTTACAGTCAGAAAAGTCAGATCTGTAAGGGGGCATACAAATATTCTCTAGCAACTATCCAATTTCATCATTAAGGTGTTCACCATTTTACCAAGTTCCTCCTCCACAGCTGTTGGCAGGTCTGTAATGTTTCCCTGCCTGACATTCCAGCTTGCCAAGCTTTACTTAGGCTCTTCTTCCTTCTGTTTTCCTTTTGACAGGATTAGTATTTAAGGAAAAGATTTAGATTGAGCCCTTAGTGCTGTGTTGTCTTTGGACTCAAGGACCTTTTCAAAGCAAGAAAAGGGAAGGAAAAGGATACACCATAATATTCTGTAATTCAGAGACAAAACATCTCAACTGACAAGGGCAAACTTTAATTACAGGCACTGACAAGTAACCCTGTTTTGTCTTTCTGTTTGTGAATAGAATTTTGTACTCCTGTCTTTTTATAACAGTTTAATATTAGAAAGCTAGGAATTGTTAGTGCAAAGCATTCAGACAGCATAACAATTTAATGAGTAGAAACTCATGAATAAAAACTATATCCTAGTCTGTGTGCTGTCATTTGCCTTTTGTTCATAGACAGACCTTTGGCCTTTTCTCTTACAGGAGCTGGCTGCAGGAGAAAGCAGTAAGGTCTTGCAGGCTGGATCTGAAATGCCAGTTGCTGACTTGAAAAATTCAGAAGGAAGAGAGAGTAATAAGGAAACACCTATTTTAGGACAAAATGCAATTTCCATTGACCAGAAGAAAGAGGAGGAAATATTTCATTCACAGCCTGGTCACTGCCCCAAGGAGCTTGTAAGTATTTGAAATAGAAAATATATTCATTAGACTGAGGTGTGATAGGACAATTCAATGAGCAGAAAAGCTTTCTTTCTTTGCAGTTTTTTTTTCCTTCTTGCATTCATTGGATTAACTTACTTTTTAAAGCCATCTGAAAATTGTATTTTGAGACAGCACATATGGACTTGAAAGGGAAGCTGTAAGTGGCTGTCAGTAGTACATATTAGTATTTCATATTAAAATAATTTCATATTAAAAAAGAAAAAAATTAGAAAAAGCTAGAGCATAATTCAAACAGTGTGAAATGCTCTGACACAGAGTTCTTTTATTAGTCAAATAAATATAATCTACAACAAATGTAGCAACTACTTGTGGCTCTCCTGCAACTGAGGACTCTTCAAACAATGTTGTCTCTGCTTTCACCCCAAAAGAGGCTAAAGATGCCAAGTCAAAGAGAAAAAAAGCATATCAGGCAGAAACATTTTGGTAGGACTTAATCAGTTTATAAAATTTGAATGGTCCATTTCTCAGGTGCATAACTCTATTTTAAATCCCAGTTTCTCATCCCCAGTTGTTTCCCTCAGCTAAAGACAGATGAGCAGCAGTAACCAGGTCAGTTGTTGGTGAACACCCTTGTTCCTTTCTAAAAGCACTAACTCTGAATGCTTCCGAGCAGCTGTGAATTTCAACAAGAACACCGAGGGCTTTAGTCAGGCTGGCACACAAATGTTTATGTGTTTCTGTCTTACGAGACACCAACCATTAGAGAAAGCACTGGGAACTGGGATGTGATTAGAATAGTCTAAATGAGCCTTTTGGGCTCAGAAAAAATACTATATTTTTAAAATATAGTAGAAATTTATTAAAAGCAAATAAGCAAAGCAGCGCGCCGGGAGACCGGGGGAAACTCCTGTTCCCCCAACAGTCTGCACGCCAAAACCCGTGCATCGGTCTTTTATATGTGCCGTTATCCCCTCCCGTGTAAGTGGAGCTCAGATGACAGTGGTAGGTCCCAGACGACAGCAGGAAGACGGCAGACTCCCCTTCTCCGTTCCTCTGGACAACTTCCCCCCACCCACATTTTACAGGCACACCCAAACTTGCATTCAGAACTCGTTCAACACAACATTGTGGCTTGATACTTGCAATTCAAACTAATCACTGACATTACAAATTTATTTGGATTAGCAAATTATTCATCTTTGCTTTTATTAACTATTACAGTGTGGTAAGTCAGTCCACTCCCAGTCTGTCAAGGTTCCCTCTCAACTGATAGGTCTAATTATATCCTTCCTGATACCAGAATCTTTGTTTGGTTAGAGCCTGGGGCTAATAACACCAAGGCTATGGGTTCTGTCCCTGCCATTCAATGAAGAGTTGGAGTTGGATGGTCCTCGTGGGTCCCTTCCAACTCAGGGTATTCTGTGAAATTGCAGTAAAATTCTTTCTTATTTTCTCTGTCTCAGTCTCACATATTCTTTGCAGCCCGTGTTATGTGACTGTCTACTTAATCTTGAGAACGTGTGTGTGTTAATGTGTCATGATCTGAATATTTGATAATAATTCAGTGTATCCCATAAGATACAGGTGTTGGCCTGTCTGTCCTTGAGCTCTCATCAGGAGCACTGAGCTGAGCATTCTGTGGCTTCTAAAGAAAACAAAAGTAGTGCCATTCCTAGTTTTGGGCAGTTCAATATTAGTAGAGATCTAGATAGGCCTGGTAGTGCTGGAAAAAACAATAATTTTAATTAACTACTTGACTTCAATGTGTTTTTAAAAAGGCATATTTATCTCATGCTGGACATAATTTTTGTATTGCCTGTTTTTTCTATTCCCTTGGTATATTCTCTTCTGTTGTCTTTCTAACCAAAGAGGCAGATCCTGCTGTCCTATGATGTGTCAGTGGACTCTATTAATGATCCTTTGCGAAGACAGAGGTTAATGAGTGCAGCTGCTATTCTTGCAGATCTTTCAGGTAAGTCATTTTTCCTATGGGATTGTGTAATGTGACCTGAGAGATCAAACTGTCTCAAACACTCAGCATTATTCTAAAAGCCACGAGGGGAAATTATGCACCAAATGTAAATTTCAGTAACATAAATATTCTCATATCTCATGTAATTGTGTCTGTAACTCGCAATAACCAAGGGCAAATCATGCCTGACCAACTTGATTGAAAGAAGAGAATTTCAAAATGTGTGTAAGCAGAAATTTTGCCCATTTTCAGAGGAACAGGTGGTGCAGTCTCTGATCTGATGTCTGACTCTGCTTTGAGAAGGGGATTGCACTACAGATCTGCTGAGCTCTCTTCCAACCCCACTTATAACCCTGTCCTCAGCTGTGGACACCTGTGGCTGTGCAGATTCAACTCACAGGAAACAGGTTGCCATTTTCCCTGAAACAGTGATTTCTCTCCTTGATGCAGATCCTTTATCATCCTTTAATAGTGTGAAACAACGTTTTTCAATGATGCAGTTCTTCTCACATGAGATTGATTTTTTGTTTCCATCTTTGACTGATTGTCTTTCTCACATAGAATTATTCATATGTCACTTTCTTTCTCTGCTAGGGTCAAAAGAGAAACGTCCTGCATTGTGGAAACGTTTTGTACAAAAGTGTCTAATTTGGAATTGTTGTCCATTCTGGAGAGCAGTCAAAGAGAAAGTGAAATTGGTGATTTTGCATCCATTTTTTGATCTCTTTATCACAGTTTGCATTATCTTAAATACCTTAATAATGGCTATACAGCACCCTGCCTTGTCATCAAATGCCAGAGAACTGATTATTAACACTGATGAGGTAAGTGAGGTCTACATTAGGGTGGATATGGAGTTATAACCCTGTATTTATACTGGAACAGTACCATAAGGAGACAGACTTCTTCAGTGACCTTTTCTGAATTTCTTTTTTGTCCTTCCAGGTATTCACCCTGATTTTTACACTAGAAATGATCTTGAAAATCATTGCTCTAGATCCCTACTACTATTTTCAGAACAAGTGGAATGTTTTTGATAGCTTGGTTGTTTTGATTGGCCTACTGAGCTTTGGAACTGATCTCGCACCTTTCAGTCTGGTAATGATTTCTTTATTATTTTTTAAAAGCATGTGTATGCTACAGATTTGTAAAAGATTACAGGGAAATACCCTCTCATCATTTTACTGTTGAATCTGTCAAATCAGTTCTCTTTGTTGGTAAGTAGGAAGCAAACATGAACATTTCATTCAAGTGAATATTAAATTAATACTAAAGAATACTTTCAATATGTTTATTATACTGTGTATATTGGACACTACAAATCCTCTGGCACAGTCTGCTCCCAGGGAGATCTGACTCAGCAGAGAGTTCACTGGTTCCCTGTTAGGTTTGTACAGTGGCACTGCTCAACTACACCTCAGACCTACAATCAGGAGCAGATATTATCTGAATATTTCCTGAGCTTAAGGATAGCAAAGGTTCCTTCACAGCTTTTCCTTTTGAGCTGAGATTTGTGAAATAACAGAGCTTTTCTCAGGGTTTAGTCTTGGCCTTGAGGGCTCTTCAGTGCTTTCTTCCATTCTAGGGAAAAAGAGGAATCATTCTGAGGTGTCTGTTTATAATGTTACTTTTGTTTTTACGTCCTCATGGCACATTTTTAATGTTAAATTTACTAATTACTTCAAAATGCTTCTTAGCATTTCAGTCCACAAGCCTTGAAATGCAGTGAATTCTGTTTCCCCTTGTGTATCGTGACTGAGAGATTTTCACAGCCCTGAATGCTAATTTGACTGAATTCCTCCTTTTTACTCATGGGGCTACATGGGGTAGGTCCTATCTGGATTTTCGGACCCTTTTTAAATCTGTTTGGTGACAGGTACAAAAAGGTATTTATCTTACTACATCTGACCAATACTCAGTAATTTCATAACCTTTTCCAAGTACCCAAGACTTACTTCATTATATACCTGTTAATTTTATTGCAGTTAACATTATTAGACTGTCAAACTCTTGTATCTAAGTTAGCACAAACAATTTGAAACCTTCCTTTGATACTTGTCTGCTCTCAATAACATTAACTGCTGGAGCTTAAGCAGAGCACTTTTGCATCAAAATGATTAAATGCCTTTCTGTGGGGGAAAAAGGAGGATGTTACTGCAGTAAAGGCAGCATGATAAATGCAGGGTCTGGGTTTTATGTGGGCTGTGATTTCTAGGCTGTGTTTGACCTTTCCTTTTTTCTCTTGTGTTTTATTTACAGATCAGAATATTCAAATTGGCAAAGTACTGGCCAGCCTTAAATACTCTTATGGAAGTAATTCTGAACTCATTTGGTGCTCTGAGTAACCTCACTCTGGTTTTGGCTATCACTGTATTTATTTTCGTTGTAGTAGCAATGCAGCTTCTGGGCAGTGATTATGAAAACAAAATCCATAAAATAAGCACCAGTGGGAATTTACGCTGGCATATGAAGGATTTCAGTCATTCAGTCCTGATTGTGTTCCGAATATTATGTGGAGAATGGATTGAAATGATGTGGGAATGTATGGAAGTGGCTGGAAAAGAGAAATGTATTACCATTTTCTTGCTAGTCCTGGTGATAGGAAACCTGGTGGTGAGTTTTAAGCTGATTCCAAGTCCCTACTGAATGCACCCAGTTTCGCTGGCAACTGATTTTTTCAGAGGCAAACTTAATAGTTTCAAGAGTATTCACACTCTTCTCTTTTCCACTGATTTTCTCTTTCTCACACAAGAGGTAGAAGCAATACAAAATTATTCCCTCTACCCAGAGTATAGAAGTGCAGTGCTTCTGATAATGTGGTGTCTGATGTAAGCATCTTTCGTGTTGATAGAATCAAATAACCAGCTTTTCAGTGCTTTTAATGCTTATCAACTTGTCTTTGTATTATCAAGAGTTTACCCTACCCAGATTTTCTGGTTTCTATGACATATAGTGGATCTAATGTAAATGTACTGGAAGACAAAATCTTTTTCATCTGCTTGGTTTGTTGCTCTACACCAGAACCTTTCTGATGGTGATGTTATTCAAATGTGTCCTTACTGGTTTTCAACATTTCTATCTCCTCATACATTATGGACATCAGAGCAGGTGAAAATATGTTTGATATACCCAAACCCTCATTCCTTCCTTTTTCTCCTGCCATTCCTTCCAGAAGGGGCCATATTGTACTATGACAATATTGCAGTATAATAGTAAATAATTTCATGGCAGAGGTTGATGAAAGCAAGACTGAGGGTTTCTGAAGTGTCTTTTCTGTTAGCAGTAGTGCCTCTAACTTACTTTAACTATTTTAAGGTCATCAACTTATTCATTGCCTTGCTGCTGACTTCATTGAATACTTATGCCTCAGGGGGACAAGAGGAACCTGGAGAAGGGAATAAATGTCAGATTGCCCTTGCACGGATTTACAAGGGCCTGAAGTCTGTGAAAGACAGAATTCTGGATCCTTGTGGCAAAAAATTGAAAGGAAGCCTCAAAAAAGCAGACAAAGAACAGACTTTGGTAGAAATTTCTGGCACAAACCTAGAGGATAATAATTATGCCATGACAGATGTCAGAAAATATATAGACAACAATGGCTTTGACATAGAGTTTCACCATAATGAAGAGAATTCCTCAATGTCATGGAAATACAAAGACATTTCCAGCAGTCACAGTACCTGTGTTCCCATTGCAGCAGCAGAGAGTTACAGTGACCAAAGTGATGATGAGCACATTGTATTCACAGAAACAGAACACAGAAAGCAGGTAAGAACTATTCATATTTAAAACAAATACTGTAACTTACATCTGTAATTGCCATCTCAAAGGCTCAACAGTAAATGGTATCCCTTCTGTAATTTCTGCCATTTTACTTTCTTTGTTCTTCTATTGCAAGGACTACCAAATAGTCTTCATTTTCCAAAGGGATTTTGAATACCCACTTTATCACCATTCTCTTCAAGGAGGGCCATAATTCTGCTTTGGTCTGTTTTGTTTCCATCTCTTGCTGTCAACTGATAAATGAAGTTTGATCAAGACGGACATTCCTTCTTTTTGTCTCCTTTGTCTTACACGTTTTGGCAGGCAGGCCTCTGCTGCTGCTTATACGTCACTTCTCAGCTGCCATTTCCTATGGGTTTGGTCATATTAGGAAGCAATGCCAGTGGAATGTCTTTGGACAAGTTCTCAAAGAAGCAAAAATAGCTGATCACCTTAGAATCATCTGTGGCCATTTCCAATATTCCAGAAGCATTTGATGACAAAACCTTGTTCCCTGCTGCAGTGGACTCTGGACTTTCTTGGAATTTGTGGATACAAAAGGACTGAGAACTGTCTGGGATCACTTAGGTCTTCTGCCTGTAACTGGAAACATGAGGCTGTTGGGGTCCAGCTGCAAAGGTTAATTGGAGGCAGAAATCCATCTATGGGCTAAATTTATTTCTTGGGGAATGATACATTTCCCCAGTAAAACATACTAGTGGAAGGTTCTCTGCCTATGACAGAAGGGTTGGAACTAGTTGATCTTTAAGGTCCCTTCCAACCTAAACCATTGATTTTGTGATTCCATTATTCTGAATTTTATGCATGTTTTAGATTCTGTTAAAGATTTCTGACTTTTAAGAATGACTGTCAGGAAGGTTTCCATTATTTCCTGCAGGCAGACACATTAGGACATCGAGAACAGCGGCGGAGTTCAGGCAGCTTCAGTCAGATTTCTGGGACTCCTGAAACTATACATGTTTTCACAGTAACACACGAAAAGCAAGAGCAAAAAGAGGTAATTCTAACTTCTATAATCTTGTGGAATGTGCTAGAGATTCAGACTGTCACAGCTGTTTTTCAATTCAGCAATGACAGGACAGGCTGGGATTTTCTGAAGAGTAGCAAGTATAATCCTTGTGCAGGTGGCATATCACTCCAGAGGCACTAATTGCATGGAGGTTTGTCTCTCATCAATAACCATGGTTAATGGTGTAATTCATGTATTATTTTGTACAAAATAAGTAAACAGAAATTAACCAAGAACCACACTTTCTTTAAGCATGTCCGAGAGATGCTATTCGTTTCTATGGATAATTCTGTTTGCTGTCATTCTTGGATGCAAAAATGTGTTCTCTCGAAATGGTTCCCTAAACAACCATGCTTCTTCTAGTATAGAAACCCAGCTCATTCTAATATTCTAATACAGTACAGTTCCATATCAAAAAAAGGTGGGGAATCAGGGCTTGCCCCCAGTGATCCAGAAAATTCAATAGAAGTTCATCATCTTTCTGGATTATTACCTCCAAAAGTCTAACCCCATTAGCATTTCTGTTTTTAGGCACAGTTGCCAGACTTTTTGTTTCTTATACATTGCTGAAATATATTTATATATAAACAATTTGAAAATATTAAAATGCCCATTGATTTAAATAATTATATTTTTGTTTATGGTGAAGATTCCATAAGACCTTAGATTAGTGTAGAGCATTGTGACTCTTGACCGAGGAAATTCTCCCTTCTTCTGGCTTCCCATTCTTATATATGTCCTCATGCCTTCCCTTTCCATGCCATACAGGGCACTTACACATTATGGCTGATAGATTTCTTTATTCTTTTTTCCTTATACTTACTTTCCTTATTTTATAAAGAAATAGTTTTATAAGTGAGTAGGTTACCTACCAGTAATGACAGTTCTTTGAGGTGTGTAGACCATATATACATTTTTATCCTGCCAGGGCTCACCATCATAGTTTGTACCTCTGAAAACAAAAAGAGAATTTGATTGGCCTGAAGAAGTCAGACTTTTCTCCAAAGCTGTAGCATAAGAAAGTCCTCTTCTTTCTGCACATCCTGTTAAGATGACTAGAAGAAACCACAAAACTTATTAAATTTAAAACTGTGGAAACAAAAGTAGGGATTGGCTTTTTCTGTTGCATTATTTGTAATTTCATTTTGTAGGTTTAGCAACAATAAGATAAGAATTCTTTTGGAGAGGAGGGCGGGGGGATGATAAATTTCATTTATATTAGGCTTGTTAACCTTACTAATGAAAAGCAAATAAGTTCTCCTCTTTCTCCTTCTCCCATGCAGAAATGTGGTGCTGCTTGTAGCTTTTCTGAAGCCAGCACTGTGGATCCAGCTGTTGGTCTGGAGATGTTTTCCCAGACTAAAAACTCACACCTGCCTAAGGACTGTTTTGGAGAAAGTAGGAATCTTTTCTGTTTTGTGTTAACACCAAATGAACCAGTGTTGAAAAATATCCACTTAGAACATATCCAAATTAGCAGGATCTGTTTTCCTGCTCATCCCAGTGTTGACATTTACCTTTGATTACCTTTGAACATCTCCTCAGACTCCATTGACCTCATGGTTCAATCCTGCTGCCTTTACAGATTCCTGAAGAGTGTTTCTGGTGGAAAGCAGTGAACAGGGAGTGTAGTTGTAATGTCTCTGCAGTGCAGTAAAGTGAAATGATCAGTAAAAATAATAACTGACTAACCTACTAGTAAGGTAATTTCTCTCTCCAAAACAAAAAGAAGAAATGCAGATAATAAACATATACAGAAGCAGAGGTGCTTTTTTTTGGTGCCCACAAGCCTTTCTGCAGAAGGGCAAAAAGCTTATTTCTTTTCCATGTGTGAGTTGCTCTATTAGAAGAGAATGGTTTAGTATGCAAATTTTTTCTTTTCTTTAGCTTGAGATCATTTCAACCATAGCACCACCTCATGGGTAAAAGAGCTCACTCTTTCTCTAGTCTGTAGAAGCTCTCTTTAAGATGTCTTATACTTTCTTGATTTCATGTCTCAGCATTTTCCATGGAACCAATAGACTATTCTTTCTTTTTTCAGATTGTGGTAAATGTTTCCCATGTTGTGTAGTGGATATCACTAAGTTTCCAGGCAGAACTTGGTGGAACTTCAGGAAAACCTGCTACAGAATTGTTAATCACAGCGGGTTTGAATATTTTATGATTTTTGTGATAGTATTGAGCAGCGCAGCACTGGTAAATTGCATTTAATTTCTCTAATTTTGAATTGATTGTTGTCAGTAAAAAAAAAAAACAAAAAACAGTATTTGATTGATTTCTTCTACTCTGACATTCCTTCCAGCAGGGAGAGATAAGAGTGTAATACATGTATCCCTTAAAAGTGATAAGGCTTTCCCCCATTTGGGTTAGACATTAAACTATATGGATTTAAATACATGGAATTGTAGCTTTTCAAGGAATATAGTTCTTCATACATTTGTGTGTTAGTTTCAAGTCTAAACTAGAGTCTGCATTTACTTAGCACTTGTAAATAAAATGATAGCACTTCTAAATGTTTAAAGCAAGCTAACTGCTTAGTAAAAATGTAGATTCAAAATCATCCAAGCGTTATGATCAGAATCTAAAACTGAAGTTGGCTGTAAACTGATAGATGAGGAAATGTTTCATTGCTACCCTGATCAGATCCATTTCCACTCAAGAATAAAGGAATTTCTATGATTTGAAAGCATATTCACTGTCTACTAAAAGTGATTTGTTAAGTAGAATGTTTTATGGTGCAGGAGGAACATAACCAGTTAGTCTGAAAGGGATCTATATGGTAAATGTCAGAATTTTCCAAATAAAATTTGCTCTGTGTACATTAACTTCAGGTTGTTCACTGAACCATAGATTTGAACTGTCTGCTTCAGAATTCCCATGACAGAATCTCCAAGGGAGATCCCTGGTATTCCTATGAGGGCTCCTCTCTATTCATGTGGAACCAAGCTGAAGTAAGGAAGGAAAGTGAGTTAGTCAGATCCTACAGCACATTAAGGAGTAAGTTGAACACAAAGCTATTTGGTACCCAGGTGCAAATAAGAAAACAGCACCATCAAAGATGTTTTACAGTGGAAATTTCACAAATGTTGATTGCTTGCAAAAAGGGACTTTTCTATTTTTTGTTTGTTTTGTTTGTTTATAAAGTTTTATGCTGATAGGGAATTTTCTGAACCAGTTAGAACAAAGGAACACCATGGTGTCCATGCCTTGAAAGGAAAGTAAATCAGATGGTGATCACAGAAAGAATGCACAGAAAAGTCCATGGTGAGTGCTCAGTGCTCAGAGAAACGAAGAGTAGTCAGGAACTCAAGTAGTTTCTGACTTAAGTAGCAGAAATTAAGAGTAGCTAGAAACTTTAAAAAGGTAGGGAAAAAAGTAGTTGGAAGTTTGAAAAAACATCACTGCTAGTGAGCAGGTGGTTTGACTGGTAGATGGAGATGAAGGCAGCCAAGGTTTAGCAGGGAATAAAAGGACACATTATCAAATTTACTCAGGAAAAAAAGGTCAGAAATGGTAAATCGTTTTATGTGCACGAATGTCAGAAGTTCTCATTTACCCACACTCAAATGAACAGTCCCATGGACACAGAGACAGCTCTGCTCTGTAGGCATTTCTCCTAATTGTGGCACAGCTGGAAGACCCCTGTGCTCTAGAAAAAGTATCCCTGTTTTCTAACACTGCAGAACAGGAGTGCGTAAGTTTTATTGGGTTGCATATTGGAGCATCTCTGCTCCATGTTTTTTCAGTGGTCTGTGCTCCTGCTCCACCTTTCCCATGGCCAGTTAGACTGGGTTTTTAGGCATGTCTTAACTGCAGGGAGGCAAATCAGGTCTTCTGTAATACCTAAATGAAGTGGAGATGGGGCGATAAGGTAGGGGAGAAGTGCTTGAAAGGAGGAATAAATACATTTCCAGAGGCTTGGTGAGGAAATAATGCAAGGTGTAAAAGGAACTGGGAGTGAATTGGCACTATCAAACACTTAAAATTAATTACCAAGGCAACAAATGCATTAAACACAAGCAAACACTGATGTGAACAGCAGGAATCAATAAAAAATTTTCCTAAAACCTCAAGGTCAAGGTTTAGGTGAAAAGACCTGTAACTCCAGGAATGAACAGTTCCAGATAAGGAGGTTGTCGTATTTTTTCATGTGTGTATTACAACTCTGCAGGCTGACAAAAGATGACTCATCAACTACCTTGGGAAGCCAGACTGTGGTAGCCACAATTGCCTGTCCTCAGACATGTTTTGCAATGTCAAGCATAAAAACCTGAAAGTATGTGATTTTTCAACAACCTGAAAAGGAGATTGAACTCATTTTACAATTTAATTTTTTACTTCTAAGTATAAAACTAAGTGGTTGCCCACAATGTAATATGAAATGGTTGTAAT